CACTTCATTTTTACAAGGAACTGCTGCTGTTCAAAATGAGCCACAAGTCAGATTCTGAATTTCAGTTCTTTGAATACCCCGTGTGAGTCAATTCCATACCTGCTCTAACAACATTGTTTCCAATACAGGTCTGATCACTCCCTCTACTTCCAAAGCCATATTGGAACATGGGATCGTGCTCATGTGGCTGGCCTCACGGCACACTGACATCATCCACCAGATCAGTCACCTCATAAAATCAAAAAATGATCAATTTTTTTCCCCAAACAAGTCTAAATTAATTACACTATTCCTGGACTGCCTGCAGGTTGGAGGTCAAGAAGTGACATGTGCTATACACATACATACAAAAAAATATTCCCTCAAAGCTCTACACTGAAAAGAGAGTGAAAGATGGAGTTCATTTATAGGTTACATGCCACATCTGACTTAAAACAAAGAGGAATACAAACATAAGCAGAAAGGTTGCTAAGGATGCACACATACATACAGTTGGAATTTCTTCCTTATCCTCACCTTCCTGTGTTCTGTACTGGCCATCTTTGCCTGCATATTGACTTGGTCTACAGGTACACCTGCACTGGCCATATTATGTACTTTCATAAATAACAAATTATAAAAGGGCAGAATAAAGAATAAAATTAATCACTTACTACAAAAATATTACTCCTGGAAATATATATATATATAAAAAAAGCAGAAGCTGAAAGAGCTATAACATGTGACTGCCTAAATGATTCTACAAAATACATGTAGGCATTTCAGATGAGCTCTGTTTCAGGCATTTAGTCAGAATCACAGGGATTACCTCTTTACCTTGTGTCTGTTTCCACAAAGCACAGACAGTACAGGTTGATTCTGTAAAGAAACACCCTAGCCCCTCAGTCTGCTCATTGTGTCCTCAGTAAAACTGGAGCTAGAGAGCCTCAAAAATCCCTATGCTACTGCTGAGATCTCTGTTTCCAGGTGGCATCCCTGCCACACAGCAGGTTTTCTTTGCCCTCTGCACCATTTAACAAGAACAAAACAATGTAAAGAGGACAGGAAACCACCAAGATACTTGGTTGATCAAATGATAGGTCACTGCCACCAATACACTTGCTGATCTCTTTAAAATTGAGGTGGGTGAGTAGCAAAAGAAAACAAGGAATAAAGTGTCCTGTTGGAACACAGTTTTAGCTTACTAGCTGTTGTGTGTTGAGAGAAGTCAAGGCCCTTAGCTAGGTTCTTAGGTAGGGGCATATGCAAATTGAGAAAATATGTAGAAATCCTCTGTTAAAGGTGCACTGACTTTGCCAATCCGCTGACCTCCCGAGCCTTTCCGTAAGACATACTTGCTCACTCTCGCTTCTCCTCTCAGATTAGCTCTGTCTGCTCCCAGGCGCCTACTCTCTCTTTCTCTAATGTGATTAAATAAGCTCCCTGTCTCTCCAGGCTTGTGCAACCACCTCTCGCTTAGTCACCTAAGCGCTCTGCAACACCCCAAAGGAGTGGAGTCAGCTGAAACAGGAGCGTTCCCAGCTCTGACATGTAAAGTACTTGCACTCAGTGCTAAATAAACTTGGAAAAATGTTCACAATGCAGCTGTGTGCACAGGATGCTGCAACCTCAGGGCAAGAATAATTATACACAAACAAGATACTTAGGATTTATGTTCCCCTCAAATAAAAATGTGCGCTGCTCATGCCAATCTCAGCACTTCATGGTATGTCTGCAATCTGAGGCAGAGGAACAGATTCTCCGTTAGGGTTAAGAGATTAGATACCATCGTTGCTTTATTTTCCAATAAACTTTAGAGGCATTCTAAGCATTGTGGGTATACATTGATGTGCTTTTCACCATACAAGGATGAGGATTCATGGGAGGTCTTTTAAATGCCCTGTTGTGTTACTGGTATTTATTCAGGCAATTTTCTATTGGCATTTGTTGATGACTCCTTTTCAGAAGTTATAGGGTTAAAGCTGAAGCCCATAGGAATATCAGACCAAAACAAAACTGAGGAAGTTTCAGAAAAAGAAACAAGTACTCCTAGACCATTCTAAGCAAAGGTTTATCTAACTTCTTCTTAAATTCTCTCATGAGGGAGAGTACCAACTGCTTGTGCAAGTAGCCTGTTGCAATGCTTGTACGTCTCTCAGTAGATGACTACTTCTCCTAACAGTCAATTTCAATTAAATCTGCTTCTAACAAAGTCAATCTTTCCTCTTCTCAGTGAACACAGCAAAAGATTGATCACCATCTTCTTCATAACGACTTTATAATCATGGTCATATTTATCTTCTCTTCCTGAGGGGAAAAAAAACCCTAAAGCCAATTCTCTGATCTTTTTTTTTTTTAAAAAAAACTCTCAACACACTCCTTGTCTTTGGATCTGTAACTGTTTGAATGTGCCGCATCCATGGGCAATGCCAAAAATCAAATCAAAGAAACCTGTGCTAAGAAGCCTTGTCTGCAATGGGCCTGAGATCTGTCTCTTCTCTTGAACCAGACTTGGCAGTGAACATATGCAGTGATATTTCATTATATTTCCATGATCTAACAAACCCCACTCTAAAAATCAAGGGAGACTCCCTTGAAGTTGCTTTCATACCTGCTTAGTTCTGCAGTGGAACCTGAAATGGTATGACTTACAGAGTTGAAAGGAGACTTTTCAGGCTTGTTAAAGTTGCTGCAAACAAGGAAAACTCAACAACTTCAGGACTACTTTAGTAAGCAATTGCTCGCTGGTTGGAATGCAAGTTACACCATGTTAGACCCGCTTCATATTTTGCCCCAAGGAACCAGAAAACTGGGTGGGAGACCAACAGGCATTCCCACCAGCCTGTCAGGCTGGACAAGCTGCATGAACAAGCAGTCAGTCTGATATTTTTGCTTTCCCTTTCTTGACCTCAACTATAGAGAAAAAAAGTTAATGCAGTTTTCAACCTTTGTATTTAGGTCAAGTTCTGTTAAAATTGTAAGGGAAAAAGGTTCAAGAGTTCACAATTTTCTTAGCCAAACAATGAGAACAGAATTCACATTCTTCTGCTTAGAAGACTTACACAAGGCTATGCAAGTGATATGTGAGCAGTAACTGGCTCTTTGCAGGAGTCCTCTGGAATCAAAGGAGAGAAGCATGCCACTAACAGCTATATCTCGTTTTTAATATTCTGTCTGGAGGTGGCCACTATTTCCACTATCCAGTCCTGGTTTTTTGCCATATTCTGCTACAAGAAAAAAATAATAATAAAAAAAAAGATAAAATAAGTATATTAAGAAAAAGTAAGAAGAATAAGTAAGAAGAAATAAAAAATAAGTATATTAAATAAGTACCAGGCATGGAAAAAAGATGGTAGCCCCAAAACCCATGGCATGGAGGAAAATGTTATTTTTTGCTCCTGGCAATTTTCTTTGGATTGGCAGAACATGTCATTTCTACTGTGAAAAGGAGCACATGTACTGAGCTCTGTGAGCTCATCATGGTATCCTTGTTGATGCCAGCTAGTAGCAATTCAGAGCTCAACTAGTCATTGAAAATGAATCCATTACAGTTGTCAGGGACCAGTCAATTTAAACCCTAGTGAGAACTGGTCAGATATTAAGTGACTTTAGACACAAATATATTTTTGCTTGTTTCAGAGGCTCAAATGGGCACATGGACAAGATGCTGTCTTCCAGTAGCCCATTTTGCAATTGATTAGAAATTAAATCCTTTGTGCTTGACTCAGGGTGGGGAAAATATTTTGAGACTGCAGTTTGATCTGAGTGTTGCTTTTACTTGTGGTTTGGCATAAGACTCTGAAATGCTGTTAAATCAAAAAGGCAAAGAAAACCTGCAATTGCCGTGTCTCTGCTTATAAAAAAACATTTTAAAATAACCACATGCATCATTCACTGCACAGATGCCACATTCTTCCCTACCCTTATTTAATAGCTAGCTGTCAATCTATGTTGAAGAGCAGTTACCTGACATTACCATAATAATGCTTCAAAGCTTCATATTAAAGATGGGTATCTTCCTAGGCAAGCCCATAGGGGTAAAGGGAAAAAAAAAGGCCTTTTCTCTCTGGAGTTGCAAAAATGCAGTTCTCCAAGAGATGATAGACTGCAACCAGGCAGGAATGACACTCACAGACACTCCTGATTTCTCTTTACTATAATTAAGCAGAGCCAAATCAACAAATTTGTATCTACATAAGACAGGCTTCTCATCTGTATTTCTATTAACTGTGGTAGAGGGGAAACTAAATGTGATCTGAGACCTCTGGCCATTAGCATAACATAAACACTTCTTCCATCTTCCAAGGTAAGTATTATGCTTCTCAGAACAGCTCATGTGCATCTACTTTGATGTTTAGTCATTCTCAAAACGCGCTCCTTTCACGTGCTCCTGCTGTGAGCAAACACTGCAATGAAAACTTGTCTGTGTCATAGGTTTGGGACATAGTGCCATGTGTACAAGCCAAAAGACCTCAAAATCTTTTAAGCTGAGTTAATTTGATATTGAGTAGGGGGAACTGGAGCTGACATTTAAATTCACTGTTTTCTGAGCAGGATTAGAGGGAGGTGGCAGGAGCCAAAGACTGGCTGAACATCTGAGACACACAGCTGACTCCTTTAAGTGTGAGGAATGGTGAGAAATCAAAGCATGGAAATCCTGTGAAAAAGGGCCCAGATGCTTAGCTGAAAAAAAAGTACAATTAAGCAAGGGCTTACCAATATATATAGAATCTTTCATTCCCTCTGCAACAGAGTAGGGAAGCTCAGGACCTGACAGTAGTTAGAAAGCAGAAGCAACAGCTGCTTCACAGGAGAATTTCCAACACCAAACATACAGCAAACGCTGAGCATATCCTCTCTTCCTCCAGCATGCATTGAGACTCCAGTGGATGAGTCCCAGAGCACAGACTTTCCTTAGAAGCTTCTGTCAAGAAATCCATTGACACCAGCATCCATGCTCTGCAAATCCCTTAAGCAGTCTCCTGTTGACTAGGCCTTCCACATCTCAGCTTTCCACTTACCAGAAGCTAAATGTTGCAGGAATGTAGCTGTGCCAGTCTTCCATGTTGTGAGAGAAGGTTGTACAGATCTCTGACACGTGAGATTACACAAAGGGAAGCCATTAGGAAATGGTACAAAACCCAAAGTGCCCATAAGAGAAAAAGGAAGGGTAAAGGGTGAATTTCCTTCATGAACTCCCTCTCTCCCGAGAGACAGAAACTCTACCACTTGCACTGTTCCTCATGAGACAAATATGCTCCTGTGAACCATCTTCCAGTAGCTCTCCATGCTAGGATTTGTCACCCTAGTGAATATCCTTCAAATTTTCATTCTCTGAACACAGACATAATATCACCCAAGGATGGATTGAAGGGATATTTCTCAGCACCTTCCCCCTGCAGCTTACATGGTTGATAAAACCACCTACATGAGAGCAATGGCATCTACTCATTACTCTGAGACACAGAATCCATCCAAGGCAGGGAAGCTCCTTATTCAAGCACAGAACTGTTGCAGGCAAGGCAGAGTATTTATAAATTTGTATGCAACGATGTTTACTCTGATACCATTGTATTGCTTCATACCAGCACTTTGACTGAAACAAGATGAGATAATGGGAACCCTGACTGCTGGAAGCCAACTTGGTTTCAGTTTAAATGTATGCATTTATTTAAGCTTTCACAAGGTATCCTATTGATTCTGCTCATAAAAGAAGGTAAGTCAATGAACAAAGAGAGCCTCAAGAGCTCAGAATGGTATTTGTGAGCTCATACCATGTCAGGAGGAAAAACAAACACCACAATAGTTTTGGATACCATGGGCTTCTTTCACAGCAGTTCACTCTACATCCCTGCTTCCCTCTTACTCTGAAAGAGGGTTTCCCTGAAGTTGAAGAATGGGGAGGAGAGGGTAAAACAGTTTAATAATGCAAAGAAACTGTTTTTCAATTATTCACACAGAGTTTTCTATTAGCACACAGAAAATCTACATTTGGAAAACCTAAAAGTACACAGCTTTTGCTGTGAATCAACACAAGACCCATCACACAAAAGCAATGTGTGTTCACATGCATGCACGAACATGTACACAAACGCACATACTTGTTCACATATGCACGTGCCCAGAGGCAGTGACTACCACTCTTCCTAGGGGAGTTTCATCAGTGCTTTTGAGAACACCACTTTTCAGTAAGAACATCCACTTCTGAATCTGTTTTCAAGTACTGGATCTGAAATAATAACAGGCCTCAGCAGCAGACCTGAATTCTGGTTCAGTCCTCTCCTGGGCCTGACCACAAAAGGTACTGTCTCTGGGCTTTTCTTGCATTCATCATAGATCAAATTGTGTCAACATTTACTCATGAAGCCTGTGGACAAAAACAGTAACACAGGTGTGAAGAACGAAGCTCTTCAGTCACAAAAAATATAAGTGAGTATTTGATGTATTACAACAGTGCTTTTCATTAAATGCTTGCACGAAGTATAGCGATCATGACAAAATAATTTGTGGTTTATGCAGGTATATAGCCACATTAGACCACACAGGCCATTTAAATAGTGCATTATGCTGGCAATCATTGTTACTAACCCTACATTAAGAACTGTGGGCCAACATTTCATTAATGCACACACAGATCGCTAGGATATTGTGCTGTCTCCATGCTGCAAAAGTGTAGAATACAGAAGCAAGATTGAGTGGGATGATGAAGTCATCTGGCAAATCTCCACAGGGTGATGCACCTAGGAGCAAATGACATAGCATCTTCCCACCACCCACTGGATATACCACTGGACTGGAATTTAGGTGCAGACAGACATTTCAATGAGCCCCATTGCCCAAGCGTGGACAAGCCACAAATCAAACCTAACACGCTGGATTTGTGGAGGTGGAAACACTATTGCTAGCTTTCTTAACTTTAAATTCTAGCAGGAAAAAAGTACTGGTAAACCTACTGAAAGACAGGGTTACCCAACATTTCCCATTCTAAGTACTTCCTTTTTGGTTGACTTTATATTGGCTAAACCTAAGGTATCAAGTGTGACATTTCCGTGGCAGGATCTTCTTCCAACATTATTTTTTCTTTTGAAATTAAGATAACAAAACCAGATCATCTCCTATTCTTGGGAAATGGATACCCACTTTACGAAAAAAATCTGTGTAAGCTAATGAAATATTGTCTGCTTTGGCTCTTAGCTCCCAATCTACAGATACAAAAATTATAAATTCACTAATAATTTAAGAACTCACATTATACCAAGAACACATGAAGGCAGATACAAGAACTCTTGATTTTAGGGTCATTTAATCTAAACATTGTTCAACAGCTATTATTGATAAAGGTTAACAACAAAACGTGTCACAGAAACAATCCTAAAAGTTATTAAAGAACACTAAGCTGGGGACTTGAGCTTTAACAAAAAAGAACCAGTTTCAAGAAGCAAGAAAGAAAAGGTTAATAACATGGTAACCTGTAATGCCTACTCAGAAAGTGCTTTTGTTAAGGGACAAGTATCAACAGAAGTGAGTAGGAGTTTCTCAAAAAGAGGTGTTTCCTGTCTCCTTTCTAATGCATTTATCAGATTGTGGAAGACAAAACTCCCCATCTTTTTAACCAGAAGGTTAATTTGTATAGCTATATTCTGTGGACAAAATAAAGCTTTAGGATGCATTGAGGACAAAAGAAGATATTCAATAACAAGCTAGAACATAAAAGGAGCAAGCAAACAATGTCTTTATTTTACCAACTAGTTTTTTTCCAAATACTTTTTTTTTTTTTGTTCCCTAAGAGATCTATGGTTTCATGCTTTTTCTGGAATTATTTTTAAGATCAATTCTATCCTAGCTGTTTTCCCTCTGCCTCCTTCCCCAGTCTATCCCCTCTGCCACAAGGAGAGGCAAAGTCCTGCCACATTTGTATGGAATGTTGACACCCACGTGAGTGGGTGCAGAATTAGCCAAAACAAGTCCCTGCATTCCTCTGGATGTCAGCACCTTCTGCTGGCTCTTTCCTAATATCTTATTAATAGGTAAAATCTTTTTTCCAAATCAACCTTCCCCCATTTTTTTATGGTATAAAAAAACAGAAATAAAAAACTTCCTTAGAAACACAAAACTGTCCTTAAGCAGGTGTCCAGGCTTATTAATAGCAAAGAATTATGCTAGTTAGACAATTAAAGTTTTTCAGTTGCCCAATTTAAATTCCTATAGGTACCTAATAAACCATCAAATGAAGAAGAATTACCAGTAAATAGCAATTACCTTGAAAGAACAGTACTTTAAATATTAAAGTGACACTTCATTAGTTATGCTGGCAAACAGGTCAGTTTGAATCAAATGGCTATTTTAAATTAGTGGTCCTATTGCAGACATGGGGTGTAATTTTTATTACCAAATACCCAGCCAAGCTAGTGACCTTAAAAACATTACTCAATAAATGGTTGAGAGTTAATTAGAATACTGTGCCAGGGAAAAAAAAAAAAAAAAAAAAAAAAAAAAAAAAAGAATAGGCTTGAACATCTCTGAATTCTTTCCAGGAAGGTGTTTTTAATAATGGCAGTAGTTTACTCCATTTAGAGGTCCATATCCTCAAGTCAAAATGTAGACTTTTATGAAACCAACAAAATATTAGACTAGAAAAATATTTCCATCCCTTTTTTTCCAACAGCAGCAATTTTTTTTCTCAAGAAACAACAGGAAGAGCCTTCAAAGCATTTATGACTGCAGAACTGTATCCCTACCAGTGATTCTACGTTTCTGCTGATATTACCTTTTGCTTCACATGCTGAAATGAAAGTACCAAGAAAACCAACAAATACATTTCTTTTGACAGTGCTTTTTATTTTTAGCAGTCTGTGGTGTTAGAACTTGCAACAAACTCATATGGCTAGTTTACTTTTTCTTTGTTGCCATCTCTGTTTTCTATAATGTACACCAGAGTGATAGCTCAAAAAACTGCTACCTGTAACAGCACTGCAAGACTCTCAGCACACAGAAAAATTCCTGTATTTTCATCACTCTGGAAAATTGTATCACTAACCTTTCACAGAAGACATAAAAAATAAGCTGTCACAAGGCAAAAGAAATAGAAATCCCAGCATGGCTAGTTTCTTTTAGGTTCCTGTACAGATATATTCATTCACATTCATCTTTTCATCCTTTCTCTTCATTTACTTTCATCCCAGTTTGTATCCAAGACTGTCATCTGGTCCTTTACACAGTCCTACCCAGTGTATTCTGTGATGGCAGTGATTAAAGTAACAAGCAGCTGTGGATCCCAAATTTTGCTCAGCTTAAGTAGAGCATTTAAGTTTTTAATGCCATAACTGAGCAGAATTTGCCAACTACTTGCCAGACACAAGAGAAAGAACATGATACTATGAGTCATGATGGAGGATCCATGAGAACTGCCATAACTACACTAAAGTTCAACATAGCAGTTAATGCCCACTGAGGTGAATGACTTCACAAAGAACTCAAAGGAAGATTCAAAATTAAGTTCAAGTTTGGTAGAAAAATTTAGGTAGTCCTTCTGTCCAAAGATAGAATCCATTAATTTCCAGGATGTACACCTGCCAGAGGTACAGGGAAGATCCAGAGCCTTGTGAGAAATCTTTGAACTCTAAAATTGTTAGAGCTCTGATAATGTATTTGGGTATCAAAGGTGGGACTTGGAATGAATTTACTTTACTGAGAAGGTGAGCCCTGAGATGTGGCCTTTACACCTGAGCTTTACATTAGAGTGCACAGTCCTCTAAAAAAAACAGGGATCAAAATCCTATATTCACCACATACCCTCAATGACTGCCTTGAATTATTGCCTGACTAGTGGAACAGTTTTTGCAGGAGCAGTGGAGAATGTTCCCACACTTCCCTTGAAGATGGGAGATAACAGTAAGAACACCTCAAACAAAGTAGGAAACTGGACTTGGATCTGACAGATCTTGGATGATGTCTAGCCACTAAGGCGTTCTATACAACATGAGAAAAATTTGACAAAAAGAGCTGTGTAAGAGAGAGGAATGAGCCTTGTTCAGCAATATCAGACCAGAACTGTGAACACCCATCAGCAGGAGAGACTTCAGGCCTCCAGACCCATTTCTTTAGGATATGAGGTGTGTGAATGGAGGCATGTTTGACCAGAGCATG